CGTAGCGAATGCTCAATTTGGTGTGCTCATGCCGACTTAGAGAGCCGAATACAGCTTGCCCGAAAAGACGACAATACGCGGTACTATAACACTAGACATAGCTAAAGCTTATGATAGCGTTGAGCACTCAATTTTATTGAATTTCTTTACACGAATGTGACTTTCCGCGTTATATTGTTGATTGGGTAGCAGATTTCTAAAATCGAGAGAATTTTATTGTGCAAAGGATGGATGTCACTCATCTAAATTCAAACAGCAACGTGGAGTACCTCAAGGGGCGGTCCTATCTCCGCTGTTATTCAATGTGTTGAATGAGCTCAATTCCCATTGAACGAGATATCACTGTCTACATTTATGCAGACGACATTGCATTTTTCGTTGCAGATAGTGACATTTATTCTTTGCATCAAAATTGCCAAAGTACATGTATTCTCTTGAAATTTGGCTGCATTCAATTTCATTGTCTCTAAACTAAGTAAAAGTGCGCTCCTGGTGTTCCCTATAGCAGATTCTATTCAATTTTTCAGTACTTTATAATCAGAACCGATTCCACAAGTAGAGTCTATCAAATATTTGGGCATTATTTATAACGAGAAACTTAACTGGAGCATTCATCGTGGTTAACAGCGCGAAACACCCGGACAGAAGCGATAGAAGGACACGGTACAGCGCTGACTTTCAACTGAAATTTTTATTGAAAACACAAGAATATATATATAGACCACGATGAATGCTCACCAACTAGCCCAGTTTTCCATCTTGCTTAACTGGAGCCCTCACATAGACTATAACGTGGCAAAGGCACAACGAGCTTCAGGCTTATTGCGAAGGTTGAGCAACAGAAATATGGGTTACGTAGACACACCTTATTAATGATATAAAAATGTACATGCGCCCAATACTCGAATTTGGGTGTATATTATTTCGGGTGGCCCTACGTACAAAATTAAACCGTTAGTTCTATTAGAGCGAGAAGCGTTACGGTTGTGTTTGCGACCCCCAGGTATGTCGCTATTAATGTACTATATCAGGAAGCTCGCATACCAACTATTCTTTGCCGATTCCGTATCTTAACAGTACAAACATACTTGAAATTTTACGGCTTATCAGCGAGACGGTCTGCATATGCCTTTATTAGTGACCCCGACGCCTTCTTCCTCGCTCACTGGCCACGCTTTCGTACTCCCCAGATTATTTTTGTACAAAAGAAACTTGAAAGCATAAAGGTGGATATCAATCCGTTAAGAAGGCTGCCCGCTGCCTCGGCTGCACGGCTGCGAAAGGATGAATGACGTCACTGACGGCACTCTTCACGGCACGCGTGCTTGGGTGCAACGTAGAGAACGACGTAAGAAAAAGGAAGGAAAATAGAGGGAAATAAAGGCAAGGAGGTTAACCAGCCTATAGGCAGCCAGTTTGCTACCCTGCGCATGGGAGATGGATGGGGAAGAGGAAAGAGAGCGGAGAGGGAAGATAGAAACAGCACATTCGGCAGCACACACGTGCACAATCAGTCATAGTGCGACGTAGTGCACACTCAGTCAGAGAACGACGTAGTTGACTGAGATGCCAATAGGGATCTATATCATTCCTCGTGGCGAATGGTTTTTAGTTTCGCCTACTGACGTATACAGCTTTCGTTAAAATAATAATAGTTGTGGGGATTTAGCGTCTCTCAAATACACAATATGATTATGAGAGACGCCGTGTTGGGAGACTGCAGAAATTTTGACCACCTGGTGTTCTTTAACGTGCACTTAAATAAAGTACACGGGTCTCTAGCATTGAAAGGAATTAAGCAAATGTGTAACAAAAGTCAGTATTTTGTAGTCGTTCATGAAACCGCAAGCGTGGGCATTATGTAACAAAAATCACACGCTGTGCAGGCTGTAACTTTGGCTCATGCGCGCCTGCACGTCACCCATCAGCCGAAATTACACCAATTTCGACTGGAATCAACTTTTGAGGTGTATTTCTCTGCCATCTCAACCGCCCCACCAAACTGCCTTCGATGTGACCCATGAGCTGTTGTATCTCCCCATGTGTCAAATCGATCCCTAGCTCCCTAACTAACAAGGTCAACCATTTCGTACTAAGAAGGTGCCCATTTATCCAAGACTTCTTCTAACACGGGAGTGCGGTAGCGTGCCTCATATTTTACAGAATAATATGCGTGGTGGAGCGCCTCCTATGCCGATTATTTAGGCCACTTGGGGGCGCTATCCAATCATCCTCCCCTAAAGTCCCTGGATATTTATAGGAATTATTTTTATTGCTTTCGACTCCGAGACTATCTGATTGCCTGACCGCATGCTAGTGTCGTATTTTCATACATTATTTACTTTTTGTTTTTTTACACGTATTCTATTGGATACCTTAAGATAAATAACCAACTAACTTAAAAATTCTGCCGTTTGGGTGTTGGCCACCCCTCCGCGGTGGTCTAGTGGCTAAGGTACTCGGCTGCTGACCCGCAGGTCGCGGGATCAAATCCGGGCTGCGGCGGCTGCATTTTCGATGGAGGCGGAAATGCTGTAGGCCCATGTGCTCATATTTGGGTGCACGTATAGGAACCCCAGGTGGTCGGAATTTCCGGAGCCCTCCACTACGGCATCTCTCATAATCATATGGTGATTATGGGACGTTAAACCCCACATATCATTATCATGTGTCTTGGCCGATCCCCCTTCTTAGGCGAGTGCCAGCAATATGAGAGCATTATCATCATAATCAGACCATGCGCAACTACAACAAACTGGCCGATTCTTTAGCAGGAGCCGCACTTGATAGCCCAATTTTTTCCTTACTGCCAGATGCTGAATATATTACAGCAACAAGATATCAAAAATCAGCAATCTGCACTGATATGATAGAAAAAGTAACTACATGGACAGAATATAACCACTTCAAGTTTCCATGGCGACCCTACTGGAAGCAGTCCAGAAAGCTTGAAGTTTTAATGACCAAATTCCAATGTCATGTCCCCCCCCCCCCCCTAAACCTGTATCTTCACAGAGCTGGTCAGACAATGTCAACCCTCTGCACATTCTGCGCAGAAATGGAATCAATTGAACATTATTTTTTGTATTGTCGCTGATACGCTATACTTAGAAAAAGGCTTATGAAAATAGGCGTTGCATTGAAGGCGGAAACCGCACTAAGATTTCGTGCCTCAGTTTTGGGACATTGCCACAGGGATGTTTTCAATGCCGTTTGCGATTATATTCAGGCATCCAAACGTATACCTTTGTGATCTTCAATCAAATATTTATTATTTATTACGCGAAAAAAATTTAAAATAATGAGGTCAAGTAAACGCAGCTGAGTGGTAATTACAGCACCTGAAATCTCAAAATTTCTGAACTTGCCTTTCCACTTTTTTCTTTTTTTGTTTGCTCTCTTTTTATGTGGTTTTCCTTACATCAGTCATATTATAATACAAATTCAATACACATAGTTAAATTTCTCACAGAAAACATACACTATGTTTTCTTGGTCAATCCCCCTGAGTGTATGTGAGCCGTAAGTGCAGGGAAACAAACAAACGAAGAATCGTTTCGTGTCTCGGTGAACGCGCTTCGTGCTATCGCGTGAAGAGATAGCCACTAGAAGAAGAAGAAGCGTGGAAATGACGCGGACGGCTCATTCGCCCCATCGAGCAGCGAGTGTGATTCCGTCGTCGATGCAAACCTCAAGGTCGCAGGCTTCTCCGTCCACGAGCCTATGGGGCACAGTCGGAGTGACCGAAACACGTGCCGCGACTGCGGTCTTCACCACCGATGCCCGCCCGCTGGCGGATACGGCGGGGCCAGCCCACGTGGCTTCACCCATTTTCAGCCCGGAGACGTCCATGCGCTGGTCCCCGTCACGCAGCCGAGCCGAACCGCACGTACCATCGGTGCAGGAGAGCAAGGTGACAGGGAACGCGAAACGGCTCGCCACCATCGCTGCACCGTGGGCCGGTTCGCTGAGCGTGGGCGCCGCCGTGGGCTACTCGCTGCCCGCGGCCCGCAGCCTCATAAGCACTCGAGACAACGCGTCTGACGATTTCCGAATCAGTGACAAGGAAATATTTTGGTAACGTGCCTTTCATTCGTCACTCGTAACTCAGTAGGGAGCGGGATGAGATTACGGTAGAGGGAAGAGGCGTGCTAGCCGTAGGACATTTCCGCGACACTGCTCTCTGTTTTGGCAGGAGAAACTGGCGTTTTTCCGAGATTATTGCATATTTAAAGACAGCAGGACAAGAACGAAAGGTGGAGACAGAACAGCAAGATGCTAGCCCTGTCCTGTAGTTTACTTTTTCTGTCAGTCGTCGTTAAGCCGTTGTCCTTTAAATGCCTAAGAACGCGCATGTCAGTGTCCAGTGTTTGGAATACTGATCAAATAACTCACACAATGTTCCTTCAATTTGTGTTTGCTTAAGTCACAATTGTTAGTTATCAGTTCTCAAGATACTAGTAAAGTGTAATGCTGGGAAAGAACAACGAGATTAAGTCATTTCGAATAACTGTGTGATGAGCCAGCTGAAAATGCTGTATATATCGTTCGCATCTTGCCTCAATGATCTTATTCGTCAACTATTAGCTGATCGGGTGTATTGCTGCAAAGACCAGCTGTTTAGACTGTAGTTGTCTTCCTCATTTTGAATACTACTTCCACAGGAGAGTATACAGGCACAAATGGAAAAAAATAGTTACCAGCCTAACCATAGGCTACCACGTGGCCGATCTTCTCCTGTTAAACGCTTTTGCTCCATTTCAGGTTTGACTCGATTCTCTTGCTGGGCGCGGTGTTCGGATCGCTGTGCGGCTGTTTTGCGGTGCAGTGGCTAGGCCGGCGCAGGATGATGGCTCTGGGTTGCCTCGGTTCGTTGGCCTCTTGGCTAGCCGTGGCCGCCGCCTCTGCAGACTCCTTCCATCTACTCACGGCTAGGGTGCTCGGAGGGCTGTGCATGGGCATCGTGTCACTCGTGGTGCCCGCCTACATCGCCGAGGTGTCCCCCGCCAGCGACCGTGGAAAAACGGTGTGTAGGAACAGCGCTTCACACTGATCTTGTTGATTCTATGAGGCCCAAGAATCCACAGAAGCAATCAAACCCTGAACAACGGGACCCAGCAACGCTTGCCCTGAATGCCCTTACGAAAAATTCTTTCTACCACAACTTCTTGGTTGCGCGCTCAGCTTCGATAACTATTTGTTTCGTCAATCTATATTACCTTATTTGTGCACTACTATCGGCATGTATACATACGCTCGGCGCTGAGAAACTTATGAGATGAAACGGTGGCAGTTGCCAGTTACAGACATACATTGCACTAAACCAATAAACTTTCAATACATTAAATTTGGAGGGGTCTAGTTACTGTATGACTGATAACAGTTTTGAAGACCTAAAGAAACAAGGCATGCAAAAAAGTTACATACAGTGCCGTGCCTCCACTTGGTTTGTGATGAGTTTATTTCAGGTTTCCACGGAAGATTGTCAAATTCGCGAAGAGCAATATGTCTTCACGCCCTTCAAATGTATTCAGCCACATTCATGTGCACTGCTGAAAAACATTATTTTAAGCCATACATCAATGACACATAATTCAGAGTATTATAACTCATCTTGCAACTTTTTAACTAAAACTTTTTCTTGTTTGAAATGACGCGCTTGTAAAATACGGTGGGGCTATGAACGATGTTGTACTTAAGTTTCTGGCAGGAGTATACCTACGCCTTCCAATGGTTATTCAAAAGATAACTCCCCAGGGCGCTTTCGCATAATTCAGAGCCTCCTTGTGTTTTATATATTTAAGAGCATGTTTTTGTATTTACGCAGTAATGGCGCCAAAAAGTGTCACATCAACTTTCTACACTTAGCATTACATGTTATGGGCAAAAGCTGCGCTGTCTCCCAGAATCATTCGTAAAAGTTACAGAATCAATCTCTTGCTACTTCACCTACGACAATGTTTGAAACGAGGCTATAGTCGCTCATCACATGCTTAGAAAACAGTGGTACAGCGAATGACGAGGGAGAGAAAAACTAATGCTGACATTTCCACTCTCATTGCTCCACTCTTCAGCATCTTTACCCCGTCACCAACAGTACCACTGCTTTATATTTATAGGTTAATATGCATTCGTACGGCCTCAACTATAGGCATTAGTTTTATTCGCTGTTGGTGTTTACTTAAATACACAAAACAGCAAAAATCGATACGTAATCCGCTTATTTCTACATATTTTTTGCTCGTCTCTGGCACTGTTTGTTGCAACGATGAGCATTCATTGTATGAGTTAGATTTCTTGTTCCGTAGTAGGCAGGCTCCTTTTCACGTTTTTTTTTTGCTTGTTTTGTTTTTGCATCTTTCCCGGTGCCCTAATCAACTCTACTTTGCCATGCCTGAAATGAACTTGCACTTGAAATTGAGATTGTCTCAGAAGTTGCACTCAAAAAGGGCGCGGACAACACAGAAAATTTTGGGTATAACCAAAGATAAATCGTAAACATTAAATCACGAGTTGTTGAAGGCGATGGTTCAGCGATTTCCGTAGTTCCGGATGAATGGTACTTTTTACGGTTGAGCCGACGTGTGGTACGCCATGTGGACTGTGTTGATTTTGAACTTAAGTGCAAATAATTCTTCTTTATGCTGACCCTTTTACACTCAACAACCCCACAGCTGACAGCATGCGTGATTGTCTCAGCGGATCAACAAACCAAAAAAAAGTGATTTCAATATATACCATTTAGGGCAGTGTCTTTCAAGTGCGTCTATATCCAGCAACTGCGCAGTATATAAAAAAATGCCCCCCCTTCCTCAAGGGAGTCGTGAGGAAATGCATTTTTTGCGCCGAGAAAGGGTACCGTTCCGTCAGACATTCGCTTTCACTGACTTCTGTCATTGCCTTGAGAGGCGCCCAGCCAGCAAACGGTTGAGAGTGAGGCGCGAGTGGACGGGAGAGTGGGGCGCAGGGAGGAGTGAGAGTTAACGGCGAGAGGAGCGGCGAAGCACTGCCCCACTGTCTCGCACCACATACTCTGGTTGCTAGGGGCGAGGATACGCGTGCGTTCCTGCAGCTGTTGCTATGGGAAAGGGAGTGAGAGCAAAGAGATAACACCTGCCAGTGTGCGGACACCGGTGCGGACAACGCTGGATGCCTGACGTAGTTTGACTAAGAAATGCATTTGCATTTAAACGTATTTGTTGCTTGAACGTGCGGCACACACTTAATTACGTAGCGAAAGCTGTACACAAGGTGGCCAGCCTCTCTTCTTTCTTTTTCTTTCTTTGCAGTGCGGTGCCTATCAGCTGGGCGTGACCGCTGGAGTGCTCCTCATGTACTTCCTAGGCAAGTTCGCAGACTGGACGCAACTGGCCCTGTGGTGTGCCATACCACCGGTGACGACACTTCTGCTGCTCGGTATGGCAGTGGAGTCACCACGCTGGCTTTTAGAGACCGAGCAACACGAGGAAGCGCACAAGGCGCTCATAATACTTCGAGGCAAGGCACACGATGCGGACGCCGAGTATCAGGTGAGCACATGCAAGAACGGATTCCGTTTCCGCGCAACGACATATGGATGTGACATGGTTCCATCGTGACTCGTAGAAACAAAAACGCCACAGTGCGTTTGAAAAGAAATTTCATCCTATAAAATAGCGTTAAGTGTGGAAAAAGTGTTGTATCAATTAAGTAAAAGCTGTTTCTATAAGCCGCAACAACCATAAACCTGTGGTGAACCCCATTCTACAGGAGAAATAACGTTGAACTCCCTGTTTTTTTTTTTTCCTTTTTGAGCATAACATGTGGCCGAGTAAACCACAAGGAAGCGTCTGCTGCTTATATTCTCCCACAGAATGGTACCAATGCGTTGCACGCATATTCTCAGTAATGATCATAATAGGTTGTACAGTTTTACTTTCAGAAAATGTTCGTATGCTTTTAAGTAAATCACAATCCAGAACTTCGGATAAATGTTTGCCCGTTGGTGTTCTTTAACACGCACGGTCTAGGTGATAGGTGTTCACCGGAGCGCACCGGGGGTGACAGCTCTTAAGGCTCTCCTGTATTTCGACCGATCAAAACACGACCGTGGTGGCCGAGAGTTGAAGCCAGACCTTCGGTCAGCATTCTGTGCAATAGAACATACGACAAGAATAAAATCTGTGCATGTCACACTGGCTTATGGTAATCTGTAACAGCATACGAATGGCACCGAAGAAGTGTGCATCCTTTATGATGGCTTCTTCAACTTTTTTGCTTACCATCTTTCTTTTCTCAATGGTAGCCCATAAGCAAGTGTGACAGAAGTATTGCCTATTATTAGACAATATATTGGTACACATTGGTACATGACTGGTACCTGAATCCACCGCTGTATTTACACATGAGCACGTTTCTTCATCCATCCACCAGTGACCACGGCTGAGTCCTCAACAAGCATGACACATACATCGCCTTGGTCTTCGTGATAATGCTGTCTCTACGTCACATAGCGTCTGTTCGCATACACTAGCGATCCAATGTTCTCAAAGTGTTTTAACCATGTAATGTAAGAACGCATAAGCCTCCAAATCAAGTTCAAACTTGTACGGAGCCCTATCGTGCACGGTGTGACGCACTGCATATCATGAACAAGACCAGGGTTCAAGCATTGGGGGCTATTCGAGATTGTATAGGTATCCGAAAAAAAATGATTTCAAGTGATCAAGAAAGCTTTATGACAAGTCATAAAACATGCATTACAGAGAGAGAAAGACAAAGAAAGAAAGGAAGACAGAAAGAAAGAAAGGAAGAAAGAAGGAAAGAGAGAAGGAAAGGAAGAAAGAAAGGAAGGAAGGAAGGAAGAAAGAAAGACAGAAAGAAAGAGAAAAAAAAGAAGAACCCTACATTAATTTTCGAAAAGGGCAGGTGAATTCTAAACGTTGGCCTGACGAACGCAAAGCATCTAGTCAGAATTTAGGGTCCAGCGGCATTCCCTGTTCAAAAATTTTTCATCACTATTGCTGTAGCTCATGTTGCCCTGACGTACACGGCGACTTTGAAAATATAGTCTCGTTTTCGAAATAATAATACTAGTCGGGGTTGAACGTCTTAAAACCAGCGTATATTCTTACGGAGAGCTCCACAAATTTTGCCGTCTGGGATCTCTTAATGTGCACCTAATACTAAATACACGTACATCAATCATTTTCGCCCCCGTTGGAAAGCGGCCGCCATAGCCTAGATTTGATTGCGCGACCAGCGAGTCGGCAGTTGGTTTTGGAAACGAGTAAGCATCATTTATCTTGTACTCGAAATGCATTGTTTGGTATTCCCTAATGTTTTCACTGTGCGCACTGCGTGGGTTTTAACATGGCGCACCACGTTTTGTAGGAAATCGAGGCCATCTACACGACGACACCAACGCCCCTGATTCACTACATGCTGGCCGTGCTAGTGATTGTGGTGCAGCAGTTCTCCGGCGTCAACACCGTCCTCCTTTATGCTAGCAGTCCACTTCACGCAGGCTTCGGGTACGACTCGGACGACACACTTCTTCTATTGGCCTCCCTACAGGTGAGCAGATCATGTACGAATAACGGTGCCCAACTATTCACTGACACGCATGCCATTTGTCCATTTGTTCACGAAGCTCGATCGCGTTTATGAAAAAGTCAGTTTCACCCCAAAGTCGAAGCAACGAGTGCAAAAGCGAAAAAATTGGAATCTCACATGATGAACGACAAGCAACTCGATACTTGTAGCAAGCGCTGAAGCACAAATGCGGGCGCATCTTTGAGTTTGAGAAACGTGCATCCGCCAAAGTGGCCTCCTGCGAAGCAGTCTAGAACATGCCTTCTGGCATCACGTGGCACTCAGTGTCCTAGGTATATATGGCAGTTGCTCGGGTTTGGCTGTAATCATTATTAGCTTGCCTATAACGAGCATTTTTTTCTCCATTAGGCTTACGAGAATTCAACACATTCTTGACCGATCGTTCGTAATAAATAATAATAAAAAAGTCTGCTTAAGTTGTCCAAAATCAAACACAGGAAATGTCTAACTCGTGTATCCCAGTGTATACACGAGAGCACGCCTATGTCGCACGCAGGCGCCTTCTTCGGTACACTCTCACTTCCAGGGACGCCATAATTTGTTTTGAACTGCGCAAGCAGTGGCTCTGGCGCTTTAAATAAAATGCGAAAAAGTGCCTGTTCACGCTGCGCCCGCTTATAAGAAGTCATCTGGGTACCACTGCACCGCCTTCGGATGCGACATCAACCAGCGCAAAAGGAGGAGATTACTGAGCAGTGCTTGGGAAGTTCACAGCGCATCGCAGGAATCATGCCGGTGCGGTGTTTTCACTTTTGACCGATTTACATCCACAAAAGAAGCGCCGAGCTTCGTCGTTAATGGATAAATGCCGTCAATAGAAAAGACAACGAGCCTAGTAATCTATGCACGATTAAGTACACTTACTGCGTGTATTCAAGCACAATGCCAACTGTACCACGCTTACGTGAAGTCGCTTGGGCCCTACTGCGCCCTTCGCAAATGCGAAAACAACCAGCGCAAGAGTAAGATATTACATAGCACTGTCTGTCAAGATCCCAACACGATGCGGCAATCGTGCCGATGTGGTGTTTTCGGATTGCACAGATTACCAACCGCAATAAAAAACGCCGAGCTCCATTGTCAGTGGATATATTGGCAATTGGCGTGAAAAACAACGAGCCCAGTAAAAGTGTACGAGTAAGTATAATTATTGCATTTATTCAAGCGCGAAGCCAGCTGCTCCGCTAAACAGCGGCGATTTGCATGCAGTATGCCTCTAGTATGCGGCACCAAATCATTGCCGTACTCTTTCTGAGGCCACATGCCAATTGTCGGATATATTACGACTCACCGTGCATTTAGTACAACGATGTCCTATTGTGATGAAAAGAGACGTGAAGGGTGCAGAAAGCATGAATTTAGAACTCAAACTGCGACATGCCTTGGCTGCAACTAGGCGAGTCTGTGCTTTAGGCTGTTGTCATCGTAGCGTTTTAAAATCTTGTTCTGGTTGGCATTTTCGCACCGCATGTGTGTTCCGAGTGCCCGGCGTAACAAGCAATCGATAAACACATGCGGTGCATGAGCGTAAGTTGGAGCCAGATTCTAGCGCTACTTTGACGCCGGCTTAGAGCTGGTTCACGCTAACAGCAAGCATGTCGTAACGACGCTGTGCCGTAGACCGGTGGCCGACGCCACACGCAGGAGAGCTCTTCGAATTGCACGGCAAGCTCCTCCAACAAACATGGCTGCCCTTCCGGATGCAGTTGTCGACCGCCTCGAATCTATCGAGCGTTCAACGTGCGCTCTGTAGCTCGTAAGCTCCGAAATGATGCTTCTATTTCCTTGAAGCTCAAGTCCTTTGGCTTCGACAACACAGTATTCGAATCGATTTGGCACCGTATTTGAGAGCCATACTCGAACAACTGATGTTCTAGGCCTAAAAAAGCCTTCCGAAATCTCAGAGGGCATATATTACACGTTTCTTTGTTGTTGCTAACGATGCTGGCGCCATTTGTCCAAAAGCCTGCTTTGGGGACGCCATTTTCAATTACTGTGAGCTTTTTTAAATACCGGACAGGCAAAAATGCTCTATTCACTACTAGAACGTAGTATAGTAGTGAATAGAGCACCTGAGCAACTGCCATTGCTACCTAGGACTCAGTGTACTAGGTATCAATGGCAGCTGCGCAGGTTCGGTTGTAACCATGATTAGCTTGCGTATAATGAGCATTTTTTCTCCATTATGCTTACGAGAAATCAACACATTCTTGACCGAGCCATACTGAAATAACGGATGTGCTAGGCCTAAACAAGCCTTCCAAAATCTCGGAGGGCATACATTACACGTTTGTTTGTTGTAGCTAACGATGCTGGCGCCATTTGTCTAAACGTCTGCTTTGGGGACGTCATTTTCAATTGCTGTGAGCTTTTCTTAACACCGGACCGGCGAAAATGCTCTATTCACTACTAGAACGTAGTCTGGAAAGAACACGTACGACATATCATGAAAACCACTGAGCAATAAGCATGCAGCTCGAAGTGTCCCACGGCAGACGCAGACAATACGGAGAGGCGAAAGCGGATGACGCGTCTCAGCCATGTTACTCCTACGTCACTGATAGGCTAAACTACTTTCCGGCAAACAGTAAACGGCACAAAAATGGCTCTCAGATCCATTTTTTGAACGGCGAAGAACGGCAGACGTGCGTGAAGCAAATGACCAGGCACGGCTGCCTGAGAACTTCAAAAGTCCAACGGCGAGGCCTGCTTGCCGTTAGCGTGAACCGACCCATACAGCACAAATTCTGCTTTGCCACAGCCAAGGCACGCCGCAGTTTGACTGAGTCGCAAGCAGCGCTCCCCACTCACTGTTCGCGTTTTTTTTTTTCAATCGCGATGGTACGTACCCAATGAAGTTGCTTCCGCAGTGTGCAATGCACGTGCTGTATAGATTTAGGACTTCCTAAGAAGGTGTCCTCGATGTTTCACGGGAAATAAGCACGAAATTCTAGTAGAGTGAGAGCGCAAAACATGCTTACAGTTGATCTTGGTTTGCGAAATTTCGGATTTGATTTGCGGAGCGTCTGCTCGCGTGGCAGTGCAGGGTGTTGCTTCTCCGCACTTGCAACAGATGGCGCGACGCGCTTTTCAACAGGGCAGCATGCACTGAGCTGCGTTCTGATGCATGACAACATTTTGCGTAAGGGCATTCCTAAATAGTCATGTGATTGTGGTGATGCCTTTCAACACGCATTACTGTTTTAGACAGTTTGAGTCTGCCGTGTTCACATTGCTTTATCTCAACAATATTGAAGGCTATACAATTTAAATCAGGGTAACCGTAATCTAATAAGTGCAAACAGGACAGCGCTTTTCTTCCTAATGTGTGTTTTAAAGAAAACGGAATGTATCACGTTGTGTCTGGACACTCACATCAGAAGGTAGATAGTGAAAAAAACTAAAAGAAATGTGTGACAGAAGGGGCCTTAGGATACAACTTACAAGAATAAAGTCACTACATATTCACGGAGTGACTGATGATGAGTGGGGCGAAGCACTGTAGGGTTTTGTCGCTAAAGCTGAACCATTGGCGAATATTGCCCTCTACATCATCAAAGACGTGACAAACAGTGCATATGCTTATAAAAGGAATTTTATTATTAGTAAGTGGTAGCTAAACGTCCTTTACGTTCAACCTTCACTAAAAGGGCTTTATGGTCGGTTTAGTGGCGAATTGGTGATGGACGTAGTCGGATGTTTGCAAGGACGAAATAGTGGGCAGTTTGCGAAGGCGGAACTATAGGCGGTGACGTACAAACAAAGCATGAACAGAGTGTGACAATCTATGGTTCTTTGACGCGCATCTGGATACAAGTACACGACCATCTAGCATTTCATATTGGTTACTTCTAGACAGCATTCCCTTTATGGTCAGTGGAGTGGCGGATCGGTGATGGCGCGTAATGGGACGTTTGAATGAACGAAGTAGCGGGCAGTTGACAAAGGTGGAACTACGGCGCGGTCACGTGCATATATACCAGGGAGTATTAAACTTGATACATACATACAAGGGAAGGACAGACGCACGCCTTTAAGAGTTTCACCCGTAAAACTGAAGCAGAGCGCTGCTGCAGTCAAGCTTCTTTAAATAATTAATGCTCGTATTTGTGAGCCCTAAGAACACTTATCATCAAAAACAAAGTATGGTGCGTTTTCTGTCCTAAAGCCGCGTTACGGTGATAAGGCACGCTGCATCGGAGAGACAAGCTCAACTTTTACAGCCGAGTTTGCTTTATACGCGTATAGTAAACTTACGCGGGTGTATGTGTGTGTTTCCTATCCCCTTCCGCTAAATGCGGTCGTGTGTCCAGGAATCGTAGAAGCGTTCTTGAACTGATCAGTAAACACATCAGTAAACTATCATGACAGGTGTTTCCCCACTTACCTTTACATCTCTTCGTGTGTATCAATACAAATTACGTGACAAGAACGTTATCTACTCATTCTCCTGAGTCACAGTGGCATGCACAACGCACGTGAAGTGGCTCAATTTATTATATGTGAAGCAGCTTATGATCGAGCTCAATCTGGTGTGCGGCGTGACACGCCCTTACCGCGCATGCGCGACCACTCCCCTTTTCTCTGCTCTCCTACGCTTCTCTCGCCTCTCAACGCTTACGCAGGAAGCGTCTGCTAGCCTACACGCACTCGCCCTCTTCCTCCTCTAGGTATTCTACATCCGCATTCTACATGTGCGTCCTCTCTACTTCTATCCCCTCTCCCTCACTCTTTCTCTCTGTCATGATATGCGCGGTAGGTTCATCTGGTGCGCGATGTTTGTGAGTTTGTGCTGTGCCGTACGCCGACGAAGATGACGATGAGACAAGGAAAAGGCGGAATCGTGTCGTCAAAGTCAAGCCAAGCCATGAAGAGAGAGAAGAGGAAGACGACGACGGGGCGTTCGAGAAGAAGGATCGGAACGAAACAGTGGCAGGCTGAAGCGCTCGTCGGGTCGTGGT